ATAGCCACGCGTAATTAACAATAAGCGTAAGCTTAATCAGATTATTTCAAGCGTCGAAATAGAAATAGCTTATTTTCCTACAGAAATAGTATAGTAGGAACAAGGGGTTCCCGTGCACCCATAAGGTGTGAATAAGGTACATACATTTTTGTAATTCCTAGGGTGTCTATTTAATGAATTCATTTGTTAACATTGCCAACTAATGTCCCATAGTACTTTTATGGCGGCATTCAGTTACCATGGTTACGCATCTTTAGACATCTTACCTTGGTATCTTAAATCATTTGTAGCTCTGTCATTATTTGGTCTATAGAAATGATATTGGTACCAAATTAAACCTCGTTAAATTTCCCCAAAAAATCTGATATTCAATTATGCAAATTATCTAATTTGCATAAATTATGACGTCATCAATCTTATTTTTGGTTCAGAATTTCCAACTATAGCAACGAATCTATTCAAACTGAGGCCGTATGGCAAAATTTCTGAAAGGTTTTGTCCTTTATTCTATTAGTAGAAGGTATAAGCAACATATAAGTGAAAACAGATTCAAAATTGAATCAGTATTACGAAAGTAATGTAACTTTCGAGGCAGCTATCGTGAATGTCATTATTTGACAATAATATACATTACATCTTACCTTGGCGTCTTGAATCAATGTAGCTTCGCCATTATTTGGTCTATAGAGATGATATTGGTATCTGATTAAACCTTACTAAATTTACTATATGGTAACAATATTAAGTTATGCAAATTAGCTAATTTGCATTAATTGTGACGTCATCAATCCATTTTTGGTTCAGAATATCCTAGTATAGCAACATATCTATTAGAACTGAGGCCATATGACAGAATGTGTGCAAAGTTTTGTCCCTTATTTGATGAGTGAAAGATATAAGCAACATTAAAGAGACAACAAATCCTCAAAATTGGATCAGAATTAACAAAAGTATCCAGCTTTGGAGGCAGCTACCGTGAACGTCATTGTTTGACAATTATAAAAAGAATATTAAATTAACAAAAAAAGTAACAACCATAGTTGTTTCAATCTTATTGAGTAAAAATGTGCATGTATAGAACTGAACTAATAAGTATGTGGAAAGGTTACATGCATTTTGACTATCATTCACAGGGGTCAAAACGGTTATCTCGACCCTGCATATTAAAGATCCAATATTATAATTTACCATGCACTTTCAATGATTCATATAAATAGTATACATATAGTCTGATTTTCATCATATTCTTCATATTCTTTATTCTTAAAGCATCTGAAGTATATAGCATGATTAGAAGTGAAGATGATTCATCATATGGTTTATGTTATATATCTAACATTTCAGATGCTATGCTAACATCACTGAACATTTTTTTTCTTTTTCTATGAATGATATCAAATTTTCAAAGATTGTATCATTTAGAGCAATATATTGGGCACATTTTCTGAAAAATTCAAAAGATTCTGTTCACTGACCTTCCCTACGCTCCTACTTTTAGCTTTTTTTCAGTCACACTTTCAAAGGGCTAAAAAGGTTATTTCATCATGTTTAGGGTCATTCTGACCATGCACATTGTGATCCTGGTCATGTCAATGATATGTGGAAATAGTTAAATTGACTGGAGGTCAAACCAGAACTCTGTTATCTTTATTCAAAAAATATCTAAAAATGCAAAAAAAATTGTCACTTCCTGTTTTGTCATTTCCTGTTAACTTCCATAGCACCTTAAAGAAATCAAATATAACAATAGATTCAGACGGGGATGTGAGCTGATATTCTTAAAATCGATACATAAAGGTATATTTCATATTATTATGCCATATTTACTGTGCGTGTGACACAATGATTTACAATATTTATAATACTAAGGCAGCTCAATCTTCCTACTCAAAGCCGGAATATAGAGAAGGCTTTGGACCGAAGTAAGATCTGTTTTCTACAAAATCAGCCTTGAAATTGAAAGACAGCTGGACATGCAGATATTGTCATTTCAGAGCTGATTTCAGCCAGGTTAGGCAGGGTAGGCAATCTACCTCTGTTTCAGTCATTGTTTAGATAAGAGATCATGATATCTATCTTCTTTTTCAGGTAACCTGTCTCCTGTGGACACGAGCTGGGGTTCCTGGCTGAATTTTCGAAAAAATCAAAAGAATTGGATCCCTACATTTTTATCGAATATCGCCCAAAGCTACGTAGACAATGGCAAATTGTGGCATCACATGATATTTTCTATTATATCAGCTAATGAACGGACATAATATCCGCCTTGTATTTAGAATAACATGTCATAAATATAGCAAAAAGTATGAGAAAGTATCGAAAAACCACCTTACCGGAAGTTTGGATAGTCTGAGCTGGATTACGCTATAGAAGGGATCCGATTAAAACAAACCTTTGGCGCAGAGTTCCTTTGGCGCTAAATTCAAATCCATTTTCAAGCCCACATGGCGTAGAATAATGGAAATAACGTCACAACGCATGCGCGTAAATCGACATTTCATGGTCCAAAGATTTCAATGGAGAGCAGTCTTCATCAAAATTTAAAATTTTAATAACTTTTTAGCAAATCATTTATTTTCTTAGGATTCAACGGATCCTTGTTAGACCCAACGAAGTGTTCATTTTGATATATAAATCAGCAAAATCCATCCACAGATCTTTCGGCCTTTTAATGATTTAATTTTTGGGATATTTTGCTAAAATCCCCCATTGGCCGCCATTATAAACTTTGAAAAAACCCAAATCCTCCGATCATTTCATATCACTCGTTAAGTGATCTAAACAACTCCGATCGCTTAGGATTCAACGGATTCTATTAAAGAGATCAAAGCTAATACAATATGTTGACAACCCCTGTTTCAATATTTGCCGCATAATCTTTCGGTCTTTTAGGATATAAATTTGTCAATATTTTGATTTTCAACCATTAATGACGTACTTGGATCCTAGATTCACTGTTCCGGGATTCATGACGCTATTTCCATTATTCTACGCCATGATAAATGAATGAACATCACACTGGTCGCAACCCTGCAGATATTCGAGTCTGTGATTAATGTGCAATTGAAAATGAATACAATGTTAGGCCATAGATGTTGGCAAGATCGTTTTGTTGTAGGATCTAAATAGGCTTCTAATCCTCCTACAAAAGAATCTGGCCGGGATCTATGTGTTATGGTGTTAGGCCTGGGAATACTAAACCACGTTTTTTTGAAAGGCCATAAAAGGGGGAGTGGATGGAGGGGGGAGTAACTAACGTGTATATAAGACATGATAAGACATGCTACTTGAATTTATTCTTATTTCATTCTCTAGAGAGATATAATATCCAGTTTCTTACTGGGGTACTGAGTCTAGTTTTTTCAAATACACGAGTTCTTCTGAATCTGTTCTATCGTAAAGACGTATAAGCTTAACTCCCCCACCTCTCCATCCACTCCCCCCCTCCATCCAATATTAATTTATTTCGATTATTTTTTATATGACGCATGGAAACTAACTTTAAAAATTGAGCAATGTCATAGGCTAAGTATTTATTACAGGTCGTATAGACCATTGTTGTGATTTAGCAAAAACATTGACTTTTGCACGTTAGGCCTAGTGATGATGCGCCTTTTTTAATAGATCTCATCATATCTTAGAAGCGTATCAGTTCAAAAAAAATACTATAATACTAAGAGCTAACATATTTTGCCATGCACTGCGCCTATTCATTTGGCATATTCAGTTGAAAATTATCTCTTGAAAAAATGAAACTTCCTTTGTTGAGTTTTCTTGCAGAAATCGCCTCCCCCCTCCATCCATTTTTTACGATCACCGAGCATGACTATTAGATAGATGCCTTCACTAGGCTATTCTATGTACTTGTGTCCGTGCCTTGCCTTAAGTAGCGAGTGTAAATTCTTTTCGGAAACAAGATTACGTTTTCCCTGTAATATGAATTGGAGATATCTGACAAAATATGGATAGCCTGATAAGGTTTGTGTTTTTGGACATGCGGAAATTAATTTGAACACTTTGAAACTGAAGTAGAGTTCCTTAATACACGGGTAGTATCTAAAGCCCCGCTATGATTTAAAAATCGCGAGCAAGTTCCCGCTGAAATCGCGAGGAATAAAAAGAAGTCATGAGTTCTTTTTTGTGTTCTTGAATTGTATGATTTACAAAACGTTTTCTTTTAATTTTTCCCAATGATTACATGGTATTGAGACTAAAAAAGCAACTGCTGGAAAAAATCTATCGCGAACGGTCGTTCTGTGGTTCGTTATTTGTCAATTGAAGAGAGAAAGTATCATTTTGAATCTTTATCTTTATATTTCTATACGTTATTGGTGAAGAACGATGTTGTCCTGTGGTTGAAATAACGATAGTGATATGAAATAAAGATGTACCGAGTTTCACTTCCGAAAGCTTTACAGAACATTTTATATTTAAATTTTATCATATCCCTCAAGGCCCCGCTTCTAGCAGGAGCAATTAAGCAAAGATCCCGCTGAAATCAGGAGGAGGCCCCGCTGAAAACATGAGGAGGTCCCGCTGAAAACAGGAGCAAGTGTCTATCAAAAATGGAGTGAATCCCGATTATACCCTGAAAATCTCCCACTTTCGTACCCACCTTGATCCACTATTGTACCCAGTTTGATGAATACATTATTTGTCAATACAATTCTCAATAACAGCAAACACACCTGTTTAATATAGTTCATATTATGATACGTTGTTGTTGGAAAACTGCAGTATCATATTTCCATGCCATTTTACAGAATACGAAAGATCATCTGAGAAATGTGATGAGTATTAGATCGGACGAAATGTTAAACATTTAACCTCATTTTCATAATTTGAAGTAATATAAGTTATTGAATGATTTGAAGTGCAGTATAGGATATATTGTGCTTAAAAAAAATCTGTATTGGCACGAGATGAAATCAAGTGGAAATACAGCATATCGAGAGCACAATATATCCTATGTTGCGCTTCAAATCGTTGTATAACGTTTTTTATCGTGTGATCTTACTACATAGTCCATAGGAAATATTCTGTATTTTCTGTATTTCAACTGTCCCCTCTGTTCCATCTTTGAGTACAAGTCGATATTCAGTAAGAAGCTTCCTTCCTTCCTCACTTCCCTCCTTTCTTTCTTGCTTCCTTCCTTGCTTCCCTCCTCCCTTGCTTCCTCGCTTTCTTGCTTCCTCGCATTCTTGCATCCTTCCTTCCTCGCTTCCTTCCTTCCATCCTTGCTTCCTTCCTCCCTTCCTTGCTTCCTCACTTCCTTGCTTCTTCGCTTCCTTGCATCCTTCCTTCCTCGCTTCGTTCCTTCCTTCCTTTCTTCCTCGCTTACTTCCTTCCTCGCTTCCTCCTTTCCTTGCTTCCTCGCTTCCTTCCTTCTTCCTTGCTTCCTCTCTTCCTTGCTTCTTTCCCTCTTTGCTTCCTCGCTTCCTTCCTTCCTGGCTTCCTTCCTTCCTTGCTTCCTCGCTTCTTTCCTTCCTCGCTTCCTTCCTTCCTTGCTTCTTTCCTTCCTCGATTCCTACCTTCCTTTCTTCCTCGCCTCTTCTTTTCTTGCTTCCTTCCTTCCTTGCTTCCTCGCTTCCTTCCGTCCTTGCATCTTTCCTTCCTCGCTTCCTTCCTACCTTGCTTCCTCGCTTCCTTCCCTCCTTGCTTCCTCGCTTCCTTCCTTCCTCGCTTCCTTCCTTCCTTCCTTGCTTTTTTCCTTTCCTCGCTCCTTTCTTTCCTCCTTCTTTGTTTCCTCGCTTTCTTCATAAATTTCTTCCTCATTTCCTTTCCTCCTTCCTTCCTTGCTTCATTCCTTCCTTCCATGCTTCCTCGCTTCCTTCCTTGCTTTCTTCCTTGCTTTCTCGCTTCCTTCTTTCCTTCCTCGCTTCCTTCCTTCCTCACTTCCCTCCTTCATTCCTTGCTTCCTTCCTTCCCCGCTTCCTTTTTCCTCCTTCCTTGCATCCTCGATTCCTTCGTTTTTTCCTCGCGTCCTTCCTTTTTCGCTTCATTCCTTCCTTGCTTCCTCCCTCGCTTCCTTCTCTCCTCCTTCCTTGCTTCCTCGCTTTCTTCTTTCCTTGCTTCCTCGATTCATTCCTTCCTCACTTGCATCCTCCCTTCCTTGCTCCCCCCTTCCTCACTTCCTTCTTTCCTCCTTCCTTGCTTCCTCGTTTCCTTCATTCTTTCCTCGTGTTGTTCTTTTGTCGCTTCATTCCCTCCTTCCCTCCTTGCTTTCTCGCCTTCTTTCCTTACTTACTTCCTTCCTTGCTTTTTTTCCTTCCTTCCTTTCTTGCATCTTTGCTTGCTTCCTTCCTTCCTTGATGCATCACAGTGGCGGATCCAGGAACCAACAAGGGGGGGGGCCCAAATTTGAGAATATAGAAAAAACCTCCGCGCTTGCGCGGAAAAAATTTTTGGGCCCCTAAAACCGAAAAAGTGGGCCCAAATTTTGAAAATTTGAGGCCCATTTTCTTCCAAATTTGGCCCAAATTGAAAAAATAAGGCCCTAGAAGGCCCAATAATGACCAAAAGGCCCACTTTTTGGGGCCTTAAGGCCTTTTTTGGCCTAACATTTTTTTGGGCCCAACTTCTTTTTTTTTTGGGCCAACCTTAGGGGGGGGGGCCCGGGCCCCATGGGCCCCCCCCCCGGATCCGCCATAGCATCGTTTCCTTCCTTCTTTGCTTCCTGGCTTCCTTTCTTCCTCGTTCCCTTCCTTGCTTCCTTCCTTGCTTCCTCAGTTCCTTCCTTCCTTGCTTCCTTGCATCGTTCCTTCCTTGTTCCTTCGCTTCCGTCCTTTCTTTCTTCCTCAGTTCCTTCCTTCCTTTCTTTCTTCCCTCCTCGCTTTCTCGTTTCCTCGCTTCCTTCCTTGCTTCCTTCCTTCCTTCTTTGCTTCCTCGCGTCCTTACTTCCTCGCAATCTTTCCTTCCTCACTTCCTTCCTACCTTGCTTCCTCGCTTCCTTGCTTCCTCGCTTCATTCCTTCCTTGCTTCCTCGCTTCCTTCTTTCCTCGTTTCCCTCTTTCCTTCCTTGCTTTTTTCCTTCCTCGCTCCCTTCTTTTCCCCTTTTTTGCTTCCTCGCTTCCTTCACAAATTTCTTCCTCACTTCCTTACTTTCTTCCTTCGTTCCTTGCTTCATTCCCTCCTTCCATGCTTCCTCGCTTTCTTCCTTGCTTCCTCGCTTTTTTCTTTCCTTGCTTCCTCGCTTCCTTCCTTCCTCACTTTCCTCCTTCCTTGCTTCCATCCTTCCTCGCTTCCTTGTTTCCTCATTCCTTGCTTCCTCGCTTCTTTCGTTTTTTTCCTCGCGTCCTTCCTTTCTCGCTCCATTCCTTTCTTGCTTCCTCGCTTCCATCTTTCCTCCTTCCTTGCTTCCTCGCTTCCTTCTTTCCTTGCTTCATCGCTTCCTCACTTGCCTCCTTCCTTCCTTGCTTCCTTCCTTCCTCACTTCCTCCTTTCCTCCTTCCTTGCTTCCTCGTTTCCTTCATTCTTTCCTCATGTCCTTCTTTTCTCGCTTCATTTCTTTCTTGCTTTCTTCCCTCCTTGCTTCCTTGCATTCTCGCCTTCTTCCTTCCTTTCTTACTTACTTCCTTGCTTTTTTCTTCCTTTCTTTGCATCTTTGCTTGCTTCCTTCCTTCCTTGCTTCCTCGTTTCCTTCCTTCTTTGCTTCCTTGCTTCCTCGCTTCCTTACTTGCTAGCTTCCCTGCTTAATTCTTTACTCGCATCGTTCCTTCCTTGCTCCCTCGGTTTCCTTGCTTCCCTCCTTCCTTCCTTTTTTCCTTCCTTGCTTACTTATATTACTCCCACCTTCACTTCCTCGATTTACTTCCTCCATTCCTTCTTTACTTGCTTGCTTACTCAATTACTTACTTTGTTGCTTGTTTACTTCCTCACGTCCTTGCTTGCTTTCTTGATTATTTACATTCTTTCATATGGCAGTGGAAAGACAAATTTTGATGAAAACCTGCAAACGAACAAACGAACGAGGAAAGAACGCACGGATGGACAGAAGAACAGCCGAAAAAACAATGAATGAACAAACGGACGAATAGGCGGCCAAAAGAATGCATGAAGGAAAGATAGAAGAAAACAGTTTACAAAAGATCGAACCCACGCACACAAGAACGTAGTTACAAACAAACGCACGAATGAACGCACGCACGAACGAACACACAAACGAACGCAAAAAGAACGAACAGAGGAACGCACGCATGAATGGACGGTTGAACGAAAGCACGCACGGATGAACGGATGCCTAGACGGACGAACCCATGAAGGGCAGTCAGACGAAAGCAGGAACAAACGGACGGTCAGGCGAACGCATGCGCACACAAACGGACGGACATTCGCACGAACGGATGCACGCACGAACGAACGAATGGACGGTCGGACGAACGCTGTCACGAACGCATGGTTGGGCGATGCACGCACGAACGAACAATCGGTCGGATGAACGCACGCATGAACGAACGGACCGTCGGACGAACGCACGGTCAGACGAACGCACGGTCAGACGAACGCACGCACGAACGAACGTTCGGTCGAATGCACGCACGAATGAACGGTCGGACAAAAGAACCAATGCAATATATGTGTCCTCAGAAGTATAATCCTTGGAATAGTGAATTATGTAGAATGTACATTTAACTCCGAAATGTACAAAGTATATTTACATATAAAAATTATTTGTGATGTTGCCATAGAATGATATGTTATGTGATTGTCATTAATACGTTATCGTGTACGTTCATATAAAGAAGCTCACTATATTCATGGAATAATGATGAAGCTTTCCTCGTGATCGAAGCGGGTAGTCGTGAAATTTGCTCGTGTTTTCAGCGGGGTCTCCTCATGTTTTCAGCGGGGCCTCCTCATGTTTTCAGCGGGGCCACTGGAACACCTTTAATAGTGTATTTCGACCCCCATGGCAGGTGTCATTGTCCAGTAACTTATCAATACAGACCATCTTGATCCGATATTTATTATGGAGTATGTAAATCGTATTTATTGCCTTTATTTTAACGATAAAGGTAATATATGAACAGTAAATTATGCAAACGTGCATGTTGACGCCCCTTTCCTTCATGCAAGTAAAAAATAATCATTTTTCATGTCATTTTTTGTCAAATAAATCTGTTTTCAAAGTTTTGCTGGAGTATCAAAGAACGGTAATAAGTATTTTCATCCTTTTGGTTCATTTTCCAAAGTGATACAAATAAACAGGACTATGCTCGCGATTTCAGCGGGAACTTGCTCGCGATTTTTAAATCATAGCGGGGCTTTAGATACTACCCGTGTAATAGGTCGTTCAGTTTTCTTGTTATTTTTTGTCCTATACAACACTTGTGTTTAATATAGCCACGCGCAATTAACAATAAGCGTAATAAGATTATTACAAGCGTCGAAATAGAAATAGCTTATTTTCCTACACAAACCTATTCACTTACCGTTATGTTGATCGATCTAGACGCCTCAATTATAATTATTTTCACTCATCGGCTTTAGTGGCCCGCGATATCTTTTATTTCATATATTTGAGACGCAATTGATATATTGGCAACAAATCAAATGTTCTAAATGATTCTTCTTCATTTTGGAATGTTTCTCCCACCCGATATTCAAATATGTGTCTTAAATATACTTTACATTGATCACGAATCTTGTACTTTCTGTTTTTACGACTCCCGTTCACATTTGCAAGAGTTGTTGATTGCGTTTCCTTGATCGGTGGTCGAACTTCGATATCAACTAAATTAGATTAATCAATTAAGAAATGTTTATATCATGTTTATCCAAGCAAATAATTGTAACAACTACATTATTTTTTAGCAGTTTTGACACCTAAGCAGGGTAGCCTAGTGGCGTAGACTGAGGTTACTTTGCGGTTGAACGTCGTGGGATACGGAGGTCCCGCGTTCGAGCCCCAGGTACGGAGTTGTTGATCATTGTCACTACGGACACCCGGTCCGAAGGTCCAACCGTTTACTGGCCCTTGGCATGGGTTGGTTCTCTGGCCGCTCTTGCCGGAGACAGATTGTGAGACTGTGGTTGGTTCCTCCACTAACGTGCTTTAGTAAACTCCGGGAGTCATATAGTATGGTAGCGGGCCCCCACCAAGGGCAGTAGTGGAACGACGCGAATCGGTCCCAGTATGGTTGCCTTGCAACTGAAGAGACTCGAGGAAATCATGCCATTCGCAGTGACCCAGAAAAGACTTTTGTTTCTTAATTTGACGTTTTAATTCATTTATTAACATACTTTATTCATATTACTTTCCAGGCAGTTATGATTTTTATTGGTCAAATGAATGAACGAAACATCGAGATATCAAACCCATAATTCGATTTGTCGGACATCTATGAAATAACACTTGAAAACATAAGACACAGATACAATCTCCGTAGCATTTCGTAGATGTCGGTTTCCACGCTCTATCACTTCGTGCGCGCGGTCATCATAAGATAAGGAGGTACGGTTGATTGGACCACGGGCTTTCAACGAGTCCAGAAATTGACATTGATACTTTGAGATATGAGGTAGCAACAAAAGGAAACACCGGAAGTATTATATATGAAAAGAAATGTTTGTTTAATGGTGAGAAAATGAAATAACTTCAGTATTAATGGGATCATTGAGGCACACATTGATAAAATCACACTTGGATTTGGAAAGATTAAAGTAAAACAAATGAATGCGTTTCTTACTATCTCCATGACAACATTTCTATTATCTCCATGACAATATTTCTATTATCTCCATGACAACATATCTTGCTCTTTCTCCATGAAAACATTTTTGGGCTCATCAGCACAAGATGACGAAAATACAATAATTGTCAAGTTCAATAAGAAATGTGAAACGTTGTATTTAATAGCATATTTATTTCTACAAATGAAACAATACAGTATAAATAAATGTTTACTTCATTGCAATTGAATACAGAATTTACCACAGTAAAATATATTTTTAATGAAGAACAGGGTTTACCATAATCAAACATAAACAACAGAATTATGACTTTATCCTCTATGAATTACAGAAATTGATATGATGGTCAATTGGAATTAAGTCTGTTGAGACGACCCCTCAATTAAAAAAATTCTGGCCGCAACTTTAGTTCTCTTATTGATGTAAAATGAAATATTTTAAAGTAAGTTTAATCTGAAAATTTGTTAACAGTTCACTTCATGCGAGCACGGAGGGCTATAGGTCGTTTATTAAAAAATACTCAGCAGTTATTTGTAAACGTTTTTAAATTGAGTTCTTTCTAGTAAGATGTTATGCAATGCTGTCATAACAAATTATAGAACACGGTCGAACCTTTGTAGAATTGTCACGACCCGTATGTGGTAGCGTGATTGGGAATCGGACAGAAAAGGAAGTAATATTTGATGTCTCAAATAATAGATATTGCATGTACTAGATTGCAATTGTTAATGTTTTCAATTTAAAGTGGGAGGGGTTAGTTGAACAGAAAAGCCATTTACAGGGGCTTTATTAAGAACATGTGCTGCATTTACTAGATTGCAATTGTTAATGTTTTCAATTTAAAGTGGGAGGGGTTAGTTGAACAGAAAAGCCATTTACATGGGCTTTATTAAGAACATGTGCTGCATTTACCAGATTGCAATGGTTAGGGTTGTCAATTCAAAGTGGGAGGGGTTAGTTGAACAGGAAAGCCATTTACAGGGGCTTTATTAAGAACATGTGCTGCATTTACCAGATTGCAATGGTTAGGGTTGTCAATTCAAAGTGGGAGGGGTTAGTTGAACAGGAAAGCCATTTACAGGGGCTTTATTAAGAACACTATGTCAGAAATCAGCTGATTAGTCTGGTTAAAGATTTTCTGAGTACAGTGAAACTCGTGAGAATTGAACACTTATGAAGTCACAAGAATATGTTCACCATAGAAAGGTGTTCATTATAAAGGCGTGACTTCATATGGACACATTGGTGTATGTGATAACAAGAGGTGTTTGATATTGCAGGTTTCACTGTAATCATACAGTAAATAGTGGGCCAATGCAAGTTTCACTGTAATCAGATGATATATAGTGGATCAAAGACAGATTTCACTATAATATGTTGGTAAATAATATGTAGGGTAATCAGGCTGAGCAATCAGGAAAATTAAGAACGTTGCAAATCTTGTGTGACAATGCCCCAATTACCATGTGAGCAAATAATTAACTACCTGGACAGGCGTGCGATTGACCTTGATAGGATACCTCTGCGAAACAAACTGGACAACAAGTGTCATCTGTTTCCCACTGGTCTATGCAGAAAGTACATGCACAAATCTCTTGCTCAGGGTAATGGTGAGGGTCAGTCAATGTCAGTAAGCTTTTGCAATACAAGCAGATGTAATGGCCACAGGGTAGATAGATTAGGTTAGGTGAGAAATTAGTGCAGTGGAAACAAAAGTGTGCATTTTGTAAAGCCATGGCATTAGAGAAATCAGACGTGAAACAACCTAATAAGTATCTGTAAAGACAATTTACAGTTGAAGTGTCTGTTCACAAATAACCAGCTGGCTACAAATGGGCTTCTGTCAATAATTTCAATTCCAATACAACGGGAGGGGGATTGAATAATCTAGCTAGGAGTTTACCATCTAAGCTTTACCAAGAAATAAACAAACTCTGGCGTGTAAAGGGATCTTTATA